CAATTCTGGTACTGCTGCTCGCGGTATACTGAGACGCTGGAAGCTGAACCCGACAATTATGTCTGGATCGGCCCAGCTGCGTGACTGACAGCTGGCTCTGCCTATCTAGAGGCAGTGCCAGCTGTACCCGCCCCCTCCCCCGTCCGTTCTGCCAGTCAGCGCTGGCGGATCGGAGCGGGGAGGGAGGAATCCAGCCCCTCCCCCTGTCACGGCAGAGAGCCGTGACAGGATCGAGAAGTGAGCGAACGCCGGTATGTGTTCCCTCACCTCCCGATCTACTGAGCCGACCTGTGACAGTCTCATTGTCACAGGTCGGCTAGAACTAGGAGGTGAGTGAAAAGCACTCACCTCATAGTTCCCCTTTAAGAAGTTACTGGTAAGGCATGACCGCTGCCTGACAGGACTTCTGCACCAGCATGTAAACAACACGATAGGCCACTGCTTCCACGCTGAGGTAAGTATTCACCAGGGTGGGAGGGTTCCAAGTTCAATTGTTTTCACTTGATGGGGTAGGTAGGTGGTGGAAAGTTGTAGAATTTTATAGAGAACGCAAACATGCCCTTTTATGCACCGGGTCAGATTCACAGGAACACAGAGGGGTCTTGAAGCAGTTTCTTTCCGATAGTCTTGCAGGTCTGAAGGAAATTTAGCACAGACTCTGTGTGAAGAAATCCCGACCACTTTGCTGGTACTGTCAGTGAATTGAATGGGTTTTATCTGATGAAACATGTATTCCTTTATGCTTTCCTGCAGCCTGTCAAACATCTGGCCCAATTTTACACTCTCTGCATTCACAGCACAGGAACTAGTTTGGGCTTGTTAGCTGTATGCTGATATTTCCATGGAACTTACTCAGGATCTATTAGCTTACCGCAGAGTCCTCAGTCCCACTAACAATACGTGTCCTTATCAGACAGTGCTAGTTAGCTGCCAGGACCTTGGGACAGGTTAGCCAACCTGAACTGATCTGACCCGTTTCAGCCGAGAAAATGTGACCAAATGCTTAGGCTTCTGGTCACATAAATGGCAGTAAAGGGAGCGCATGGCAGTGGTTTATCCTGGAAGTGTAATTATTTCAGCACTTCTATTGCTCATGATCCATTCTAGTTAAAGAGCTGTCACCAGGACAGGAATTCAGAGACCATAATAGAACCCTAACCCGGATTCTTAAGCTGGGTATACATGGTTATCTTTTCTTTGTTCAGAAAATAGAACAGATTCCTCCATCAACGCTTACGTGCTTGGATAGAGGAATCCTCTGCGGTTATGCATTGTATTTGGACAGTGGCCGCTGTCAGAATACCTGAACAGAGCTAGCTGCCGATTGGCTGATCAGCTGATCGAGGGATGCCGGCTGGAAGGGTGCCGACAGGAGCACCCACCACAAATTTCACCAAGAACTGGGAAACATTTGCACCATGTAAAGCCTACTTTACCCCTCACCCTTTCCCCTCTACCCTCAAGTGTTGTGGAATCCCAGAAAAAACAGTGTATTGCATATGCAAAGTCAAAGATTAGCTTGCCCCCTACCACCTTCTGTCCACTATGCTGAAGAACTATTCCCTACACAATTGTTCCAGGCCAAGCTGACCAATGACAGTCTCCATATTCCATCATGACAGGTGCACTTTAAGGAAGCATAGTTGGTGTCAGCAAATCACAGTGCCTCTAGTTCAGCAGGTCCTGCGGCACTTGAAAAGCCGTGCTACACTTTTCATGTCTTAATCAATGGTAATTAAATGGATTTCAAAGCTGCCGAGCAGCATTCCTTTACCTGTCACCCACCACGAGTAAATGATACATCCGCTTGAATCGCATAATAGGGACGTACTCCAGTAAGGCCAACGCGATGCTCACATGTCAAATGATCTGGCAGGGGAAAGATTTGGTTTCATGACAGTGAGCCGTGCGGGGAGATCTGATGACAGAGGATTCAGGAGATATGACACTATGTGACACAGCATGACACCGTGCTCCGAGGAAACAGTCCTACACGTTCCCTGAAACCAGAGTGCTGCAAGGGTTGGCTGGTCCAGTAAAGGACCTTTCATTACAAACATTCATTTTGTACAGTGCTGTGCAAACTGTTGGCGCTATATCAATCCTGTAATAATAATGATAATTTAAATAAGCCCTAGCACCAAACCAGTCAGCACCCCTCCTTTAGGGCTTGTTCACACTATATCCAGTGCCTACTGGTGGACTAACCGTGCCGGAACGCACTAGATATAGTGTAAACAAGCCTTTCGGCAAAAGCTGATTTTTCTAAATCCTGGCTACACGCTTATACGGGGCTGAATGAGAAAAGTCTCCCCTCCCCCGCAGGCCCTGTTGTATTCTGACAGTGGTGGGTTTTGTTCGAACAGTGACTGCAGTAGATTGGCAGTAGACTTTCCTTGTTCAGCCCCGTATACGTGTGTAGCTTTACCTGTCCTCTCTTCTCATAGAGATTCACTGTGTTGCCTGCAGGAGTCGCACAGCCGCCCTACCATATGTCATAGAGCCTTCCCGTGGCCTCTCCTTAGAATGGCAGCACGGTGGCTCAGTGGTTAGCACTTCTGCAGCACTGAGGTCCCAGTTCGATTTCAGGCTCGGCCAGGACTCTATCTGCATGGAGTTTGCATGGTCTCTCTGTTCTTGCGTGGGTTTCCTCTGGGTACTCTGGTTACCTCCCAAACTCCAAAGACATGCTGGTAGGTTAATTGGCTCGTCATAACCAGTCCTCATATGTGTGTATATGAGATAGGGACATTGGACTATAAATTCCTTTAGGGACTGATGAGTGTACAGTATGGAAAGCGCTGCCTTACTCAACAGTCCTATATAGATAACTGTACTGATCTGCAGTCTGTCCTCTGACTCTGGGCTGGAGCTCAGACACATGACCTGCAGTCTGTCCTCTGACTCTGGACTGGAGCTCAGACACATGACCTGCAGTCTGTTCTCTGACACATGACCTGCATGTTTGCTGACCAGGAACGTCTCTTCCCAGGACAGCAGATTACTGGTAAAAGGTGGACTGTTGCACTGGTTGCCATGTATACATAAAACGCAGGCGAACGACCACATTCACTGTGCTGGAAGTGTTGCCGGGAACAACGAATCAAAACAAACTTGTCAGGGACAGATGTCTAAAAATAGAGATTCCTTCCGACCCAGGGGGTGCCGAGTGACTAAGAAAATGTCATCAGACCTGGCACCAATGAGTCACAGTCCCTTCCAGGTGGACGTCTGAGTCCAACCAACAAATCATTCCGATTGATTTCCTTTAGAAGTGCAAAACTCCATGCTGATCCTGCCAGGAATCCACTGCAATACAGAACACCTACTCCACTCCTCTCACCCATACCTAATGGAGAAGATGTTCTGTAGTCCTAAGCTACTTCCTGTCCTAAAGTGGCAACACTGTATAGAGGCAGTGCAGTGAGTGAGCGTTGTCACCCTGCAGCAAGATCACCGGGATAATAAATAAAAGCCTGGAAGCACATCTATGGGCTGCAATGTAGAAAATATCTGTCCTTGGGTTGCGTTACACTGGAAGGAGGAGGGGCGTGTACCTGCAGCCACCCTGTCATAGGTGAAGCATACTCCTAGGAGGAAGGGTCAGAGCCCCTGCAAGAATTGTCACCTTCTCTACACATCCTGTGACCACCACCAGCAGGATAGAAAGTGAGGAGACTGCCAACATTCTGGAAGAGGCCCCAGCTGGAGGACATTTACCCTCCAGAGTACTCCGTGTCAGAAACTTCCTTTCCACCTCAGCGCTGGGGGTCTCCTGCAGCCACTTCCTGTCTACATCTTTTCCACCTCAGCGCTGGGCGTCTCCTGCAGCCACTTCATGTCCACATCCTTTCCACCTCAGCGCTGGGGGTCTCCTGCAGCCACTTCCTGTCTACATCCTTTCCACCTCAGCGCTGGGGGTCTCCTGCAGCCAATTCCTGTCCACATCCTTTCCACCTCAGCGCTGGGGGTCTCCTGCAGCCACTTCCTGTCTACATCCTTTCCACCTCAGCGCTGGGGGTCTCCTGCAGCCACTTCCTGTCTACATCCTTTCCAGCGATGGCAGCCTGACATGACTGTAGGTGACAACAGTGGACATTAGAGCAATACACAGGCTGACAAGGGAGGGACAGAGCGTGGTCACAGGAAATACCCAGACATTCCAGGAGGACCAGGACTAAGAAAAGATGCAGATCGGAATGACTTTTCAAACCACATTAGCATGTGAAAGCTTCCATGAGATTTTAGTGATTGGGTTCCATCATATCATGTATACAGTCAGTCACATGGAGTATACCCACACAGAACATGGTACACATGTCATGGAGTATATGTACCCAGTAGACATGTCATACTGTCTACATGTGAGCATGTTTTTGTATATGTACACAAAACATGGTACACATGTCATGGAGTATATGTACTCGGTAAAAATGACATGTGTTCTATGTACACAAAACATGGTACACATATCATGGAGTATGTTTACACAGAACACAGGTCATGAAGTATATGCACGGTACACAGGTCATGAAGTATATGTGCACAGGTCATGAAGTATATGTGCACAGTACACAGGTCATGCAGTATATGTGCACTGTACACAGGTCATGCAGTATATGTGCACTGTACACAGGTCATGCAGCATATGTGCACTGTACAAAAGGTCATGAAGTATATGTGCACTGTACACAGGTCATGAAGTATATGTGCACGGTACACAGGTCATGAAGTATATGTGCACGGTACACAGGTCATGAAGTATATGTGCACGGTACACAGGTCATGAAGTATACGGTCAGTGTATGTACATCTGATCTCCTGGCTGTAGGGGAATCCTCTGTGTACCCCGGACATACATTGACAGAACACCAGCATCAGCCCAAAGCAATTCCCCTGATTTTCCCGGGAAGTAGCCCGTCCATTGCCTCTGTACATGAGACCAGTCCATGTGACACCTCCCCCCAGCACTCCGCAATCACCTAACATGTCTCCATCACATACCTGTCCCCGCTCACCGCTTCTATCACCCCTCCAGCCGTCTCCAAACACAAGCCTCCACAGCTTACTTACGCTATTTGCGTTACCACCGCCACGACTAATCGGACTCTCGGCATAAGAAAAGCCTTTCGCTTACGCAAACTGCGTAAATGCCGCCAACTGTTCATCTTTGAGAATACCAAGCGCTCTACACACAGAAATCAGCGCAGCGGTGACGCATATCACTGGGGGACGCGTGGATTGGCTGCCAGGCACAGAATATCCGCGTTCTATTGGCCGGTAACAAGAGGCGCTGGTTTTGATTGGTGGGAGGTTGCTGCGTGAGTTCTGCGATTGGAAGAAAGATCAATTGAGAAGGCGAGCGTGTGTTTTGGGCTCGGATACAGGATCGTGACGTGTCTGCAGACTGCAGCTGATAGCTAATTAGAATATGACAAGAGGCCCAAAAGTTGGGTGTTACATGGTTTGCTTATGGAATACCCTAGCTTCTTTAACCAGTTGACATCCGCGGTGTTAAACCCCCTTCCCATCCAGATTCCCCCACCAAAGTGGATAGATAGATGAATGCTAGCCTGCAACCTCATGGGCTGATGAACATATTCCATATATCATTATTCCTCTAAGCAGGACCGTCTCTATAAAGAGGCAGCATAAGGTGGTTGCCTCAGGCGGCTTCTCATCCGCGGTGCCACAGCGTCCTAGGTTAAGGGCTATTAGCAACCTGTAATGCTCTGTGCTGCTTCCTGCCCAGCTCACCTGTTGCCAGGAGCTGAGCTGGATGTTCTTCCTTGCGTCCCACTGAGCTCCTGGCAGCCGGTGATGTCAGTGAGCTGGGCAGAGCCACAGACAGCGCAGTCCAGGGTCTGCACCCCCAAACCCCCGGAACTAAAACTCAGCACAACAACCTCCCTACCCCTGGACTACACGTTTGGTGATGTCACCACACTTATAATTAATTGAAACTACAATTCCCCCTGCTGTGGTGGCTGATGGGACTTGCAGTCTCTCCGTTTACAGATTCTGTCAAAGGATCTGTGAATGGATGACACAGTTGTGTGGGTGGAGCCACGCACAGCCACACCAAATATAAAAGCATGTGGGGAGAAGAACCTCGCAAATTCAGGTAAGTTGGGGGATGTCTGCAATCTGATCATGTTCTTGTTACCCCAGAATATGAGGGTAACATGAAATAGGGTCAGAAAGGTAAACAAGTGGGATTCTGGCCAAGTAGCAGGTCCGGGCAATGTTTTTATGGGCTTTTCAGCAAATTTAGTGGACTCAAATGTTGGCATGATCGAATGCTCTGAACAACAATTGAACAACGAATGAAAAAAAGGTGAATGTTGTGCTGGCATTGTTATGGTTTGTTCCTTGTCACTGGACACATTTGTGTGCATGTAATGTGGAGCCTAGTTCCCCATTAGGTCCCCCTCCCTTTTAATGACAGGAGGCAGTGGGTGGATTCCATAGCTAATAGCCAGCCTACTATTGGCTATGGAATCCCCCCATCTGCTTGCTGTCAGTCGGTAGCAGAGTGGACCTGATGGGGAACTAGGCTCTAAGATTTCACTATCAGCGTCACATTTTATAAAGCCGACAGTGTCCTTAGCAACCAGTAATGCTGACAGTGTCCTTAGCAACCAGTAATGCTGACAGTGTCCTTAGCAACCAGTAATGCTGACATTGTCGGTAAAGCTAAACTGGCAACAGGGCTTTGCTGAATTTGGTGCAGGAACATTTAAAAGTCCATCCCACCAGAAAAGCCTTTATTGAATCTCCTCACTGTGGTTTCAACTGATCATTAGCATTACCTAATAGAATATTGAACAAACATTCTAAAAACAAGTTTTTTTAAAACAAAATTCTACTGGTGTATGGCCAGCATTACCTTGTTTTCACCCCTGCTGCTCCTTTAAGCCACCCGGAGTGAAGGCAGGCCCAGTGTCAACAACAAGCTAAAGGTGCCCATACACCTGCCGATTATCATACGATAATCGTGGGTGATCCCGCAATCGTACGATAATCGGCAGGTGTATGGGCAGCGTGCGACCGCTTCTACTGTACGGTCGCACGACTTTCGTCTTCCGAGCACGCTGGAAAACCGTATGATTTTCGGCAGGTTGGTGGCGTGCTTGGAAGACGAATGCCGCACGGGCCGGTGTACGCAAGCGCACACTGCACGCTCAGCACTGCAATCATCGGAAGCCCGCCCCTCAGCGGGGAGGGCTTGCGATGATCTCAAGTACGATCTGCCTGTCCAAGAAGGGCAGGTCGTACGAAATTTGAATGACCTTACAACCATCGCACAACGAAAGTCGTGCGATGGTTGTAAGGTGTATAGGCAGCTTAAGACTTACCCCTATGAGTTATCACATGGAGTGAGTCCCATGCTCCTTCATAGTGGGCAAAGCCTAAACTGTCACCTTAAAAAAATATTGAAAAAAGAAGACACTTTATGCAGAACTAAAGCCTGTGCTGTGGCCTGTTCATGGAATGTGTCGGGTACCTTCGTCCCCTTCCGCACACTGCGGTGTCATACGCCGGCCCTTACATCATTACTTTGTCCCAAACCCTGTCACCGTCACTTATGCTGGACAATTTGACTTGCACTTAAAGCCCAACTCCACAATAAAACTAACGGTCCCCACAGATGGAAACAACATCAGCGGGGGACCTGGAAGACGGGAATCAGGTGAGTAATGTTTGCTTGTGCTTGCGATATTTTAAAGTGACACTAGGAGTTAAATCTTAAAAATACATTCAAGTACCTTAACTATTAACAGAAATGTATCTTATTTGTGTATCACTCGGCTGTAGATCCTCAAAGCATCTCTGAATTGGTGCTGACACTGTCCTTCCTTCTGGGGGGTGGCTACTTGTGTTCCCCATGGTCCCTGTGTGTGTTGTAAAGTAGTCACCACTTCAAGCTCGCTCCTGTGATGGACTACAATCTCACGTTTAGTTTATTCATTTGTACGGAGATTGTAGTCCATCACTGGAGCGAGCTTGAAGTGGTGACTACTTTACAACACACACAGGGACCATGGGGAACACAAGTAGCCGCCCTCCAGAAGGATGGACAGTGTCGGCACCAATTCAGAAATGCTTTGAGGATCTACAGTCGCGTGACACACAAATAAGATTCATTTTTGTTAATAGTTAGGGTACTTGAATGTATTTTTAAGGTTTAACTCCTGAGTTTAGTGTCACTTTAACACTCATGTGCTCATTATTGATTAACACCACACTATACACAAGTGCCTCAAATATATTATATACATTATATATAATCATATTTTAAAAAAGTGACATACAAAAACTACTATTCTCATCAATCCCCATGTAATAGTGAATACAAACAGTACTCGTACAAAAGTAAAAATTAAATAAACTGAGTGCAAATATTCTACAACAAGAAATATTAGGTGTGTGAAAAAGTCCAATTATTCCATATCCACCAAGAGTGCAAAAAGTCCCAGTGATGCTTCTGATAATGAATCCACACGTGATACACCCCTGTGTGACACTCTATCTCACTCACCATGTACATGACCAGTGAATAAGTGGTCAATAATTGCTCATTGACAATATCCAGAGTGAAATCCCTCTTAGGCCCCGTTAACATGTAGCGACATACCTTTGCTGCGGCCGGGATAGCGCGACTTTCGTGGCGACGATCCAGCGACGGTAGCGCGACCTTCTCCGTCGGGCTCCATAGAGAAAAAGCAATATCGCGCAAAATCTGCCGAAAAAAGGGTCCGCTAGAAGCGACTTGCGACCGCGACGAGCGACGCGCGACATGGAGCTAAGACAGCTCCATTGACTATCATTAGCCGGCGACTTCTCGCGATATCGCGTGGCAAAAATGCACGATATCGCGGCGGAAATCGCACAATAAGTCGCTACATGCGAACGGGACCTTAGTGTTAACAGCTTATCTCCTTACTGTGATCCTCCATGCCCCGGCACCGCTCACACAACCTTCCTACCAGGGCTCAAATACAGACATACACATCCTTCATGGTCTAGTTCTTACCTAAAACCAGCTTTATTTAAGATCCAATATACACTTACAGAAATAAAAAACGACCGTTCTTCCCAATACATAAAAACCGCTCCGGCCTGCAAAAGCTCCTACTGCGTGCTTCCTTCCTGTGGAGTGACGTCACCAAGAGCCATCCAGACGCGTTTCGTCCGCTGACATACTCCTGAGAAGAAGTCAGAGGACGAACCGTGTCTGGGGCAGCAAGTAGTAGGAGCTTTTGCCAGCTGGAGCGGTTTTTATGCTTTTCTAAGGGAATGGAGTTACAGTATATCCATTTTGTAGTATTAAATATTTGGGGGGGGGGGGG